ACTGGAGAGCTTTGCTGGTGCAAGCCAGGTTTTCCTGATGAAGCCCGGTAGCTCCTGCCTGCCTCATTGAACACAAAGCCCCTCAGGTTTTCAGACGGAGCTCACATCTTCCTTCTGCTGACCTTTTAGAAGATAATGGGGTTACTCTCCAGCCTGGAGCAGAGAACAGGGGACAGACCGCGTGAAAAGAGAAGGGACCAGGTTGGAGGAGAGAACTGTCCATTAGGCCTTTCCAAGGGGAGGGGTGGGTTTGAAGTACCTTCCAGTTCCAGAACATTAGAGACAACACATGCAAACACAAAAATACCTTCATAGCTCTATGCATGTGTGTGCATACTATAAAACTGTAAAATAAGGCCATTTAGAAATTTTAGTTGTACTCTATATTGTATATGCCTCTATTCTATTTTTCTATATAATGTCTATATATATTTACAGTATATCTTAGTACAATATATATAGATAGTATAGAGTGAGTTCAGTATATCTATTTTCTTTTTTCTTTTTAAATTTGGCTGTTTTTTTAAAGTTTATTTTTATTTTAATTTTTTTGGTACCGGGGATCGAACTCATGACCTCAAGCTTGCCAGACAGGGCTTATGCCACTGAGCTAAATCCCCGGCCCTTCTATTTTTTTCTTAAGGCAAGCACTTCAACACTCAATGAGTTGCATTCATCCCTGGTTCTTTGTTTTGTTTTTGAGACAGGATTTTGCTATGTAGTTCAGGCTGGCTTTGAGCTATGTAGCTCAGATTGGCCTTGAAATTGTGGCAATCTTTCTGCCTCAGCCTCCCAAGTACTGAAATTACTGGCATGCACCACTATGCCCAGCAATTTTATAATTTTGAATGATAATTTATCCATAGACATTATCTATTGGACTAGAATTCCAATATTAATTTTTTTAAAATCTTTTTTGAGACAGTCTTGCTATGTATGATAGTTCAGGGTGTCCTTGAACTCATAGAATCTTCCTGCCTCAGCCTCTGAGTGCTGAGTTATAAATGTGTATCACCACGCTCAGCAACATGACTTGTTTCCTTCTATTCTCTCAGCGACTCTGTAACACCTGCATTTGGGGTAGCATGTGGGGTGCTGTAGATTGAAGCCAGGGCCTATGGCTTGCTAAACATGCAGTCTTCACTATACACCTCCAGCCTGAATATCTGCATTTTACAAAATAAGAAAACTGGACTCTGAGAAGAGCAGTCAGCTTGGCCAGAGTGCCTTGGCTGAGAAACAGAGAAATTTCTATCCCAGAATTCAGATCTGTACGAGTTCCACACCGCTTCTGCCTCAGAGTGAAAAGCACAGAAGTGGAAATGCAGCTGACCAAGAGGGTCATGGGCAAGAGTATTTTTTTCTATAAACTTTGGTAGTCACAGGAATGTTAGATATTATAGCTAAAATGCCTTATATATCTAGAATATGACACTATGATATTGAATGTTTTTTTTTTTTTTTTCTTGTGATACTGGAAATTGATCATGGGTCTTACTGAGCTACATCCTCAGCCCTTTCTAAAAAAAAAAAGTTTTTCAGGCAGGGTCTCAGTAAGTCACAAAATTGCCCAGACTGGCTTACAAATTTGTGATCCTCTTTCCTCAGCCTCCCAGAATGCTAGAATTGTGGGTGTGTACCCCACTCTCAGCTGCATGGTACCAATTGCTAATTGTTGTACCAAGCGCCAGAAAAAGAGTTTAAGAAAGTTTAGGGCCACTCAACTTTAGTCCTCTGGAATGGGGACTGGAAAAGGACAACCCTGCCCACTACCTAGTTTTGTGAGGTTCCACAAGTTAAAAAAATAAAATGAAAATAAAACATAACATCCCTTAATAAATGAAAAGTACATGAATTCAAACATTAAGGCTCATAAACCAAAATTTTATTAGAACAGACACATTTATTTACATGTCTATAAAGGCTTTTGTGTTTCAGGAGTACAATGGAGTTGAGAAGTTGGGATGTATGGGCAGCAAAGCCTAAGGTTGTTCCTATCTGGGCTTTTATAGAAAAAGTTCACCGACCTGTTCTTTCACATTCACACAATTTGAGCTCCTGTATATTTTTTTCCTATGAAATTCTGAAAAAAATTTTTTTAAAAATTTCTTTCCAGAATGAATACGAAGGGAATCTTTCTCTAACTGTAATGATTTGAAACGGTGTAAAGTTGTGGCCTCCTCCTTCACTGAGACACACTGGTTACCTCTGGGTGTTAGAGCAGGGTCTTACTACCTTCTGGTCCTGTTACTCATCTTGACTGTATTACAGGTTTAGTTTCAGGACATTATGAATTCACCCAGTCTCCTTGTATCGTTTATAGGGATTTTCATTTTCACTTTCAAACTTACCCACTTTCTCTGCCATAACACAAAGCTCACACTACTAAATGGCCCATACATGTTAAATATATATATATATATATATATATATATATATATACTTTAAGCCAGAATTTTAAAGTTTCTGTTCTCTTGAAAAGTAAACTTAATTTTGCAGGTCACAGAAGAAAATACCATCATATCTAGTGATCTCAAAGCACCTCTTGTGAAAACACATAACAAGGTAAAGAATGTGTATTTATTTTTTAAAACTACTGTAGTTCTTGGAGGAAACAGTATTTAATGGAAAAGATGTGACTAGCAACGGATCAAGTCTAAGGCTATTTCTGGTCCTGCCAGTGACTCACTTTGACTTTGGGCAAATCATCTCACCACTGTTGCTCTTTATCTGCAAAAACTGGACTCCATGCCTATGGGAGTTGCATGGCTAATCAATGCCTGGAAAATGCGTAGTGGCAGATGCTACAAAAGTGCTGAGCCTTAAAAACAAAACCACCCCCACCCCCCATTTGTATTCAGTTGAGGTTGGGGTTTATTGTTATTTAACATTCGAAGGCCAACATTATGTTAAGTCCAGTGAGCTGCACAGAACAGATAATATCACTGTCCAGATGGGATTTTTTTTTAGATCTAGGATTTTTGACTTTTAAAAAAATTATAGTTATTTTAGAATCCAGTAATACATCCGCACGAAAACGTTAAGCTTTAAGTTGAAAACTATCGATTAAAAAATCTAAATAAACCCTTTCCCAAAAAAAAAAAAAAAAAAAAAAAAAAAAAGGCCCTCCCGCCCCGCCAAGAAATCTCTCAAAACAAGAATTCTTCAGATTTTTCCCCCCCTCTCCCTGCAGTTCTCCATGTTACAGTCCTCGGAGGTAGAATAGGCATAAAATACTTTCACTAATAAAATATGACAAACCGCCGGATTATACGTGGCCGATTCCCAGTGATTGCCCTGTTACACAAAGCAGAAAAGTAAATGCCATCATCCCCCTTAGAACAAAAGAACTTAGGAATAAAAAACATGGAGAGGGGGGCAGAAAGCGGCAATAAATAAAGGTGAGCGAAGGGCCCCGTCCCCCGCCCCTCTCCGAAGCGAGTGTGGACTAAGTGCGGCTAATAAAGTGGTTCAAGGGTAGTTATTTGGAAAGGGGGCGGGGTGGCGAGGGGAGGGAGCGGGAGAGCGAGCGCGGCCGGAGATTGCATGTTGCATTCGACTTGAGGTTGCATCTTTCTCCTGTTGCCTGGACCAGGCTCTCTCATTGCAGTGCTTCCCCACTGCTGCTCCTCCTCGGTCTGCCCTCGCGGCTTGTTTTTCCCCGTTTCCAACTGCTGTTGCATTGGAGGGAGTTGGGGCCACTCCGGAGCCCCTTTGCAGCTCCCGCCGGAGGGGGGGAGTTGGGCTCCGGCCCCGGAGTTGGGGGGGGGGGGCGCAGCGGGCTCCGGCCACGCTTCGGCTGCGGCTGCAAAAGAATCGAGCTGCAACGCTGCCCGGGCCCAGAATTGCGGCGGCCCCGGAGTTTGGCTGCCGCTCGGTGCTCGGCCCCATCACCACCGCCGCCGCCGCCGCTGCACTGGAGTTTGGCTGCCGCTGCCCTACTTCACTCTAGTTTAGTTTCACTCACTTTACATCCGGGTTTTTTCCCTAGGCAATGGGGGCCGCAGCACACCCCGTTCCTTAGGCAAAGTGAAATAAATTCGCCGCACCGACACGTCAAGTAGTCCGCCCGCCCGAACGCCGCCGCGGGCCCCCGCCGCCACCCCTCTCCACCCTGCCGTCGCCCCGCGCCCCTGGGGTGGGGAAGGAGGCCCGCGCGTCCCGGGAGCGGCGCGGGGAGGCCCGGGCCGGCCGCCGTACAACTCGGCGCGGCGGCCCCCTCCCGCCCCGCCGTGCCTCTTTCCCCCCGGCGCCTCCTCTCCCCCCACTCCCGCGTCCCCGCTTCCCCAGTCCCTCTCGCCCGGCTCTCGGGAGCGGCGGGGGCGCGCACGGCGGCGGCGGCGGCGGGGCCGGCGGGGCCGCGCGGCGGGCTCCCGCGCGGGCGAGTGTGTCTGGGCCTGGGCGGAGGGATCCCCGGGCTGAGGCGGCGGAGGTGCTGCGGCCCGGGGCCGGGTGGTGAATGGGCTGGTGGTGCTCGCCGCTGCTGCTGAGGAGGAGGTGGAGGAGGAGGAGGAGGATGAAGAGTTGGGCTTGTTTGTCTCCCACAGTTTCTGTCCTGCTGCTCTGATTCCCACCCCCCATTCCGGCCCGGGGCCTGAGTGTGTCTCTCCTGAAGGAGGAGGAGGCTCCAGTTCCTCCCCCCACCCCCTCCTCCCCACCCCCCCTAGCCTGGGGAAGAGGAGGAAAGAAACAGCCCAGAGAGAGAGAGAGAGTGAGAGAGAGAGAGGGAGAGAGAGAGGGAGAACGAGAGGAGGAGGAGGAGGAGGACGAGGAGGAGGAGGAGGGAGCAGGGAACAACCTACCATCTTAACACACTAATATCTAAAAAGTGCGAGAGGCCCAGAGCAGCAGCAGAAGCGGCAGCAGCCCCGGCGTCTTCCCTCCCTCCCTCCCCATGAAGAAGAGTTCCCTCCTCCTCCTCCTCCTGCTTCTCCTGCTCAGAGTTCCTGCCTCCAGCTGCCAGGGGGGACAGCCAGCCAGCAGCAGGAGGGTGCAGTATCCCAGCTTTTCCATTCTCCCTTCTCACTCTCCTCTTTTTTTCTTGAGTAGCTGTATTCCCCTCCCTCCCCTTCCCCCTCTCCTCTCCCTCTCTCTCTCTCCCTCTCCCTCTGTCTTGTCTCTGGTGTTTGTCTCTGGGAGGATCAGGGGCTGCCTGCTTGGAGTTTGTGATGGGGGGTGGAGGGGGAGGGGAGGGGTGTGTGGGAGGGAGGAGGGAAAGGGGGGTGTTCTCGCCAGGACCCCTCAGTCAACTTGAGATTTGAGCAATAACTTCCCCTTCGGGGCGCCCCCCTGCGTGCCCTTCCTATTCCTCCTCTCCTCCCCCCAACCCCCCCCAAAAAAAGACAATGGGAAAACCTTGTCTCCCCCCTCTTCCGCCCCTCTGCCCTGCACCCCTCCCCAGGATAGATTGGAAGTAAGTTTATGAGCAGCCTCGGGAGCCTGGGCGCTGCTTAGTGCGGGCCGGAGCGGGTGACAGAGACAGCGCGCCGGGGGTGGTGGGGAGGGGGCGACACATTGTCCGGGCGTGGGGGGGGGCGCGGGGGCCTGGGCTGCCCCCTCCCCAATCCGGCTCCCCCTCGGCCCAGGGACGGTCGCCTGGCTCTTCCACCTACCCCTCCCCACACACACCCCGGGATGCTGTTGGGGGGAAGTTTTTATTATGGTTATTTATTTAATTAAAAAACATTTTTTTTGGGAAAACCATCTTGTTTGATGACTGAGGGATCTGGTTAAAAAAAAAAAAAAGCTGCGGCTGCTGACGCCCGCGGGGCCCGAGTGTGTGTGTGTGTGTGTGTGTGTGTGTGTGTGTGTGTGTGTGTTGGTGCATTTGTCTTGGGTGGCCGGAGCAGCGTTGGGGAAATTCCGCTTATTCTTCTTCTTCTTCTGCAACTTGTTATTCCGGAGAGTCTGCCTGCACCCCTCACCCCGGGGCCGGCCCTCCCGCAGTCGCCCCGGCCGCACGCAGCCCCCGGGGCGCCCCGGGACCCCAGTGCGGGCCGGGGGCGCCCAGGCCGCTCCGAAAGGGGCCGCGGCCGCCCCTCCCCCGCCCGCGCCCCCGCCGGGGGGAGGGGCGCGCGGAGTGGGACTCTTTCCGTTTGGTCCAGCCCCGCCGTGCACGCAGTTCCCAACACTTCTCGTCATCCTCGCTCTCGGGGCTCTTTATTCTGCTGAGCGGTGCTGTTAGGATTTCTCTCTCTCTCCTCTCTCTCTCTCTTTTTTCCTCTGACCACGTTCGCGATGGTGGGTAGCAGCAGCAAGGTGGCCCTGGCAGGGGAGGGGTTGGTCTCGAGATTGGGCACCGGGCGGAGAATGTCTCCTTTTCAACTTTGTCTGTGTGGCTTGCACCCCGGGAGGAGGCCACACGCCGGTTGTGGGTGTAGATGTGCCGAGAGTGATTTCTAAGTAGTTGAGTTGTTGAGATGAGGGTAGGACTGCTAATGGTAGGCAGGTTTTGTTTTCATTGGTGAATCCGGTGTCATCATATTCCGGTCATATGTTGAAATATTCTTTGTTTAGGTCTTGAAGTAGAGGATCTCACACTGCACGTCCACATTGTGTTGTTTTTAAATGATGTCTCTGGGAGTGTGGGTTTCTAGAATTTCAGATGTGAGTGAAGGTCCGGACGTGTGTGGGCCTCAGCTCTGGCCTTGACAGTGAACTTTGTGGCTGTGTTTTGGATTTCAAAGATGTGCTCCATAGCTGGGGTGCGAGTCTGCATTTTTCTGAATGGTAGGTGTCAGGAATGTAGATGCTTGGGGAAGTTAGAGAGGGAAGAACATTTGTATATTAATAATTGATAGCTGAATATTAGAATCAGATTAATTTGGGCTGATGAGAGTTGTTTTTTTTTTTAACAGTTGTGCATTCTAGGAAGGCTTTCATAGGCGTACTTTATAAGGGGTTGCTTAGGGCAAGGAGCTGGGATATGGCCTTTTAGAGAGGCCCCTCATCGCACCTACATCTGCAGCTTTATAGAGGTACAGGGGGCCGAAACAGGCTGTGATGTGTAAGCATAGTTTTCGGTGCTTATGCTGTTTGTTTACATTTAGTGTTCACTCAACGTTTGGGCAGTAGAAATAAATAGGTCAGCTTTTCCTTCGATTTTTGAAAGCTAGCCCCCTCTTTTTCTTTCAAAGTTTCACAATTTACTTGGTTTACAGCCTAGGAAACCATCACTACATTTTTACTGGAAATACTATTATTCATGTTAATTTCGGTAAGTTCCTTTTTCTCTTCTTAAGTCTTCACTTGTGTGTGGAATCTGTTTTGTGGGCTTAACACTGGCTTATTAGAGCCATCTAAAATGTCTGAAGTATGCATTTTAAAATCTCTGTATCTTTTGATGGCAAAGAGAAAATTCTTGTGTGCAATTTACACTTATGTTTATTTTAAAAATGTGCTTAAAACTTTTGTAGATGTACAACTCTTCATAAGTGAAGAATGTAGTAACAATGTTCTTCATTCTCAAAACAAATATTAATATTCCAGGTGCTATTTTTTTTAATATCAGACTTTTGCTTTAGGTAATATAATAGTGTTTACAATTTGACTAGCATGCATAATAGTTTTTTGCTTGAGTGCTTTTGAAGGTATTGTAACTTAGTTTTTAGATAGTTTTACAAGGTTTATAATAAAGGATGTTGCACTTGACACTTGGGCAAGTCTTTTTGGAATTGAAATAGTAATAGATTAGGAAGACACCTGTCTGTACTGTAATGTATTTTGAAGAGATATATGTGATAAATGGACGTTATTATTATTATTATTATTTTGTCTTTTTGAGACAAACGTTGGCCTTGAGCTCATTTTGTAGTACAGGCTGGCCTCGAACTCCTAAGGACCCTCCTGTCTCAGCCTTCCAAGTGCTGGGATTTATAGGTGTAGGCCACCATGCCCTGCTGGGCACTGTTTCTTTTGGTTTGAAGGACCCTTCCTTGTTTCTGTTCAGTTACCTGAGAGGAGCTGTCTCACAAATACTCATTCTCGGCTTACCTGGAGGTCTCTAAATGGTATCCAGCAGGAGGTGCTACAGCAAGACAAAGGACATTTTTAAATTCTGAGTCTTGCCACTTACTGAAACTCTGCTTAGCTTCAGCTAAGCAACAGGATTAACACCTTAAGGTTCCAGAAAAATTTTAAGTAAGTCCATTAAAAAATAACTTTGATAAGTTTTGAAACTGAAATTTTTGCTTTTTGCTTGTTTATGATACTCTGCCAAGTAGATTTTTTTTTTTAATTGTGTGGCTACGTGAAGGATGCTGAGGTTAGGTGTAGAAGGCTGTTAGAATTATTTTCTTTTGAGAAAGGCGTTAGCCTTGTATTGCTGATGTAGGGTATTGAATACATATTTTTTAAAAAAATTATGTGCAGTTGTAGTAAACTAAAGTAGTTGGTATGATGTGAGTCTTCAAGTTTTGCAATCAGTCGTGTAATATTAATACACATAGAATATAGAGTGGTTGAAAGTTTGGCAAGAGAGTTCTTGTGGAAAAATTTTAAATTTTTTTTTTATCTCCCCCTTTCTGCCCCCATTTACGGTCTTCTTAAGGCAGTCAGCTTTATAAATATATCTGGATAATGTATTTAAGTTGGCCTCCAAAGACTGAGATTCTTGAATTATAAGTAAAATTGTATATGTAGATACAGATCATTTCGGATATGCCTGTCCATTGCTAATAACTGCATAAAGATGAAAGTAACTTATTTTAACAGTTTCATAGCATTTATAGCACATGGCTCTTTGAAACTGTTAGTGTTAGATGAATTGATTATCATTGGAAATACTATGCTACTATAGTTGCTGGTAAAGTTTTATATCAAAGTTTTAAACTTAGAAATGTATAGAAAATTTGATGAACTTGCTTTGAATTTTGTGTCTTTGGTAGGCATAATGCTGTACTTATCTCTCAGTAAAATCAGATTAGGTAATACATGTGAAAGTTCTTTGTAAATTGCCAGACACATGCAGATAGTGAGTTGTTGAGATAAATAACCAGTTAATACATGAACAGAGCTTCTGTCTTAAAGTGTTAACTTCATATCAGTTGGAAAATTAGTGCATTAAAAGTGTACCCTGAACACTTCATGAATTTTTGTTTTTTAAATACTGCTGTGGTTACCAAAAACTCTTTAGTTACAGTTTTGAAGCTTTGTGTAAAAAATGCTGCATTGGCAGTTTCCCATAATTCAAATATGATCATTTTTCTTGAGGACCTTATGAAATGTGTGTCCACTATTAAAGTTTTTCTTTCTTTCTGCATTGATGTAACAGTTCATTGTAGTGAATATTTAAGTTCTTAGACTATCCTATAGACTCTTATTAACACATGGAGTTAACAGAAGCTAGGGCTAAAGTTTTGACTGACTCTTCTAACTTTCTGAAAAAATTTTTACTAAAGCTTTCAAGTAAAAAAAACTTTCAAGTTTGCTTTCTGGTGAAAATGTGTACATACGTATGAATTAGTATTACGTGTATATCATTTTTGTTTCTCCGTTTTAGAAAGATGCATGAGGAAATAACTACTCAAATCTAGAGGAGTACACTGAAATATTTTTGTGTAAAAATAACCCCAAAATTTAAAGCCTTAAGTTGTGGCTTTCTTCATAGCTCTGCTCACAAATTTGGAACAGAAAATTAAAAACAACAAAAAACACCCCCAGTAAATTGAGAATCCTTGTGTTTGTGACTATATCAAGAGATGTAGTATCTTAAATCTTAGAAGTGATTGTACTTTGTGAAGTTGCCTCAGTTAGAAAATAAGTGTAGAAACTTCTGTGAAGAGTGACAAAAACATTTAACTGTTTAGACAAAAATGAAACCTCGGGTGATACTAAATTTTTATGCTGTAGACAGTGAATACTAAAGCTTTTTGTGAAGAAATATTGACGTTGTATTAATAAACTTACAAATTTTGTATCCTTAGTACTCTACTGCTGAGGACTTTGGTATTTAGTCACTATTTAGAAGGAGAATGGATGAGATTGAAGTTTGGGTCCCTGATCTTTGACAGAATTCCTTAACATTTATAATAGAACTGATTTCTTGAAACAGGTTTGAATTTTATATTATTTTTCCTGGGAAATATCATAATTTATGTTGACATCTCAGGAATTTTTGTACATGGACTTTTTCATTAGGCTTAAGTGTTCTGTTTAGGAGCACAGCAATACATTTTGATCACATTAACTTTACCAGGTGTATGTTTTTGCTGCTTTGGAATTTTGTTAAGCAGTAATATGTTGACACTGCATTAAATTTATTATGGATTATTATTTGCTAAAGAGCATATGTTTTATTCTCTGTATGTTCGTCTGTATATATGGCCACATCTTTTTGAGGGTTTCATATAATTCTTATGAATTCATATATTAAATTTTTGAATACTGATCTTTTTTGAGAAGGTAGAATAAACTTTTAGGAATAACTTCCCTCTTACTTGCCTACCAGTTCATCTACACTGAAGTGTGGTGAGTTCTTCCTTTGTAGAGATTATTAGTAAAATTCAGACATCCTTGGGTTTTTTTTTTAAAGAACGTACCCCAGACTCTTGAATAGCATTTTGAATACAGGGCCACTTCTTCTCCTCTGATACTCCTACAACCCTCTCCTACTCTTTAAAATTGAAAAAAAAAAAAAAAGTGTGTGTGAGCAGCTCAGTTGAAGGGAACTCTTCTTTCCTCTGTGATGGAATCAACCATGAAAATGTTTTCTGCTTTTTAAAGTAGGTAAGAAGCTGGTATGGGGGCACCAGCCTATAATCCCGTTACTCGGGAGGCTAAGATAGGGAGATCTGTTGGGCTCAGGAGTTTGAGGCCCACCCCGGGAACACAGACACTGTTTCAGTGAAACAATACACGGTAAAATAAATAAAAGTAAACAAGAAAGTGAACCAGTAATGTGGAGTTCGGAAGGGCATGAGACTTAATAGGTTGCTGAACTGGGCTTTATTTTGACTTGGTTTGTGGGCCTGGGGGAAAAACATAACTTAAACACAGAAGCCAAAAAGATGGGTTTTGTTTTATTGTTTTGGCTGCATTGAGAATACAAACTGTCAGTACTTGAAGAGAAGGAGCAGCAGAAAGGAATTGATTTTTTTCTGCTGCAGATCCAAGTATTGTTAACCATGTGCATCTCTAAAGTGACATACTTACAAATCACACAGTAGTTGATTCTTTCACTCAATTAGCAGTCAGAACCCAAACCTGCTTTTTTTTTTTTTTTTAAGTAAGTGTCTAAAACTTAAGGGTAATGACAATAATTTCCTGATAAAAGTGGGTGATAGTAACCATGGCAACTGCTATCTCTGGCCTTATGGACAGTATGTTGTATTGATGAAGCTTCAGATCCTTTAGTAGCCTGTCACTTTTATGGTGAAATGTAGTAGCATGTGTTGCAGGTGATTTTTAGCTGGATTGTGTTAAATTTGTGTGCCAGCTTATCTTTCCTTGTTAGGAATTTCTTGGACTATATTCCACAGCATATTTGTGAAGGTGCTGTTGCCTGAAAATAACCCACCACCTGTGTGAGGCCTCCTAATGCAGATTGCACTTAGTTCTTTCCCAGCCTTCTTTCAGAGTCTTGAAGAAAACAGGGGTGTGTGTAGGACCTGGGTGTACATAAATTACAGCTCCAACTTATCAGCTCGGGTTTGGACATGTTATTAATAGCTTAAAAATCTTTTTTGTGTTTCCAGAGGAGATTACTGAATGAGAGAATGGGGCCTGTAGATGGAAAATTTTTTCTGTAAGTGTTCTTTCCAGAGAGAGAGAGAGAGAGAGAGAGAGAGAGAGAGAGAGAGAGAGAGAGTGAGTGTGTGTATGTGTGTGTGTGTGTGTGTGTGTGTGTGTGTAATTAACCTTGAAGAGTGAAGTCTATAAATACTGAGGAAGAATTTGACTGAGGAGAATCTTGAGAGTTTTTTTTTCTGTGCTGGTGTATGTATGTATTACTATAAGGACATATTTCCTAGTGAGCAGTAATAGAGAATGAGAAATATTTGCTTGTGAGAATTTTCATCAAGAGGAATGATAAAATATATGTTGATTATGTGTTAAAAGGACCTGGTGAGACAAAAGTTTTTTGGGGGTGGAGAAGGAGAATACAGTGTTAAAATTGATACAACTAAACTTAAAAAATGTGAAAAATTATAGTTCAGTCATATCAAATGTTTTTGATTTTAAGGTATTTTTATCATCCTATCTTATAAAGTTTTTCTA